TATGCAGGATATCTGTAAAGCATGACAAAGTGTTTAAGGTTTGTGTCTGAAAGCAAGTGAAAATCTTAAATTTAGTCTCTGAAACATTGTCACTCATGCCTATATTTTATAGGAAGATTAACTTCTGGCCACAAACATGTTGGAGATGCCGCCCTTCAAAGTTTTTCACGGGACCTCCACATTGAGAGTCTGCAAAATATGGTCATTACGAGAAAAGCTGAATGTTCATAGTGCACCAAATATAATACTGAAAAGATTAGTGAAAGGGAGAGATGTGAAAGGAAAATGCAGTTAACACACTAAGACAACTGCAGTCTTAAAGGGATTTAAGAGTTTGGGATATATTCAAAAGGCAGCTGGAGTCAGACCTTTAAGAAGCACCAGACAAAGATATACCCAGAATATAACCTAAAAAAGGTTCTTTGTTATATTAACCCTTCGTAAACTAGAAACGTAATTGTCTTGTCAGTTCAGCTGTGTTGTATAACATTCGTGATTTATTTCAAGACTCGCAGAGTTAACTGATAAATTAAACCATTTACCAAGTCCAGTCAGGAGAAACACCAACAAGTATTAACTGTTTTTTTTTTTTTTTTTTTTTTTTTTTTTTGTCTAAAATCTCTATGAAAGTCCATTTTTAAAATGTCCCATTTGTCTTTCCCTGCCCAGTTCTTAATAAAAGGAATAAAAATAAGCTGAGACTTTTTTGTCACTTTGTTAAATGGCAGAGCTCAGTCATAGAATGCAGTACTTTCCTTCAAGACTGACAATGATTGTTTTCTGCTTTCGGCCACTTATAGATCACCAATGAAATGTAAAATAATCACAAATATAGTCTTTGTCAGTTTTTAAATTACCTATTAAAAATTTTTTTAATTTTTTTTTTTAATATATTTTTAAATATTTTTTTTTTTTTTTATACTTTGTATTCTTCTTCTTTTTTCCTACTGTACTGTGATGCAACGCTGCAATTTCCCCACTATGGGACAAATAAAGGATTATCTTATCTTATCTTATCTTAATAATATGTTGACACTCCAAAAGAGATTTGATCCTTAAGAAAAGGGTGCAATACAGTTTGTCCGAGTGGAGTTACCATATGTTAACGTCATAAGAAGGGGCAGGGCCCCAAACAGGTCTGACCAGCCGAGCAGATGTGGTACCTACACTGGATCATTACCAAAATGTAATCATTTGTTGAGAGTTACAATTTGCACCTTCTCTAAAAATTTTGGAAAAGTCCATCAATAAACCTTTTAGTGATTCTGAAAACAAACCAACCAAACCAACGGCAATGAAGACATAACTTCCTTGGCGGAGATAAAGACCATAATCAAGGGTGCTTCCCTCTCATTTTCCCGTTTCAAATCATATCTCTCCATTTGTGTACCATTGTGTATATTGAACTATGAAATAGCTTTGCACATTCACAGTCTACTGCAGGCATCCCCAAACTCGGTCCTAGAGGGCCACTGTCCTGCAGGTTTTAGAGGTTTCCTTGCTCCAGCATAGCTGATTTTAATTGAAAGATGATTAACAGGCTTTTGCTCTACTGCAATCATTATAATCAGCTGTACTAAAGCAGGGAAACCTCTAAAACCTGCAGAACAGCGGCCCTCCAGGACCGAGTGTGGGGATTCCTGGTCTACTGGGTCATGGCGACCACAAAACAGGCTTAAATTGGAGGTAAACAGACTTTTTCTGACAGTTCAGACAGTTTTCTGAAAACATTTTGACACCTATCATAGTGTCTTTGTCAGTTTTTGTCGGCTTATAGCAGATTTGTACTTGGAACATTCCAAGTCAGATGCAAATCAGTAACCCTTCCGTTGTTCTCACGGTTGGGTCATTCATTTGCATTTTAATGGATGCGCTTAGGAGGATGGGCCTCTAGGTGCTTAAAAATATTAGCGCTCCAACAACAGATTGCTCTGTTGTGAGCCGACAGGCTGCAAAGGTACACATTATTATATTAGTGCTGCTAGTTACAGTCTAAAACTATCACAGTCAGAGAAGATGCAATTACCTCATTTGAGTCCATAAACTTAGATTTGTTATTGAGCTACAAAAAAAACCCCTTCTGATTTTAAATTTAAGTTAGTGTGAGATGTGGAATTACCCCATCTTGATCAAAAACCTTGAGATTTAATCTAAAAAGCCTCTACTTTAAGACAGTACAGATCTTATGTTTATTCAGTATTTTTATTCTGTCTGAATGCATTAGGACCTTTTTATTTTAAGCACAAAGCTCATGAAGGCGGTGTATGTCTTGTCCTGAACAGATAGAATTGCAAGTATGGTAGTTTTCTGTCTGAATACAAATTCCATACAGTTCCTTCGGCATTAATGTTGCTTGCTATCTAACCTTACAATAAAATTGTCCATGTCTGATTTTCTGATAAGCCTTGATGTAAAACAACATTGTTTTATGCTAAGCAAGCACTTTGATATGAGTTTTTTTATATGCCACTGACTTCTTTTTGGTGTTTGCATCCCCCCGAAGATCTTAGTGCATTTGTGCTGCACAGCAAAGTGTGCCCACATGCACATGCATGCACAGTGGGAATCCTGCAACCAGCTTTTATCTTTCAGAAGTCATTTACATTCATTTTTCTCCTGTTGCCCCCAGCTGCAATCCTCCCCCCATTATCTGTTCATCTCAGTAAACTCTGCCTTTGTTTGAGTGTAAAATACAACAACCACATATTTTTTAAGTCTGTTTCATATGAACTCTTGCAGTTATTTTTTTTTCTCTTAATTTACATTTACATGTCCCTGGTAGACATACAATAATTTGTATTCCTTATATTCCTGGTCTAGTTTCCATGAAAATTTAAAAGACAATTTTCAGTTATTTAGTTTTTACTGACATTAGAAAGTAAAAGCAGTAAATGGTTTAATGACAAAAAGTGAGAGGACAGCGGAAACAGTGTTCCTCTTCATTGTCCTTTGATACCTTAGAGAAAGGGATGATAGCAGTGAGGGAGAAATAGTCAAATTCAGGAAGGATTTTAAGTTAGCAGTGAGAAGCAAAGCAGAGAGAGAGAGAGAGAAAGAGACACCAGGAATAGGAGTTCGATCTTCATATAATAATTGAATAATAATCTCCTGGGAGACATGACCTAGAACTTGCAATCAGGGAGAGGGGCTAAAGATTGCACTCTGCTGCCCTCTTGTGACTTTATGGTGTCACCGTTAAAACTTAAAGTGATTGAGTGTCCGTATATGCTCATGGTTGTGTGTATGATTTACAGCTGCAAATTGTCTATGTCACATAAATACCAGCCGATACATTTAAAGAGTGGAGAAAAGGCCCTTTGGATGTCTGCTGTACACACACACACATACAGTTGCAAAACCAGACCTTATCTTCCTGTCAAACTGAGCCCTTTTTAGAGTTGGTGCTGATATATGAGCTTGGAGGTTGGAGACGAATGTTGCCCAAACTTTGACGGGTGATGCGAGCGCAGCGTTTGTGTTCTGGTTGATGTACGAGCACAGGGGTTAGGGGACAATGCAGCGCTGACACCAGAAGAAGAAGCTTGTTGCCCTGGGCCCTTGAGTCCATCCTGAAGAGGAAGCTCTGTGTTCTTTAAATACAATAGCCCTGGAGGAATGAACACACAAGCACACCTGCTTTGTTTTATTAATATCTGGATAAGTGTCAGACTAAGACCAAGACATTCCTGCAGAAAGCATTCAAACATCACGGTCTGATGCATTTGTATCAAAGCTTTGTGGTATTTTACCCGCTGACTAAATGTCTGATGTGTTTGTAACTGTAAATCCTAGTCTTCTGACAAATAGCACATTCATTAAAGTGCTGAAATACTAAAAGATTTCAACTCTCACATCAATTAAGTCTGCTGTTTCATATTAAACATATGTAAAATGTTTTATTATAAATGTTTTATAATTATTATTTTTTTTAATGCATATGTTGCAACGGCAATGTTTTACACTACGAGTGGTGTTTTCAGGGTGGCTTACAACTGTAGGTTATCCTTCCCACTTAGCATTTTTCAAAAAAAATTTCTATCTGAGCTCCAAACCTTTACAGCTGTTTCAGTTAACTGGCTGTGATTTAAATTTTCCTTTCCTGCCTCTATGGGATGTTCAAAGCCTTGAATTGTTTTATTACCGATACTGTCTTGGAAGTTGTCTGTAACTTCCTCCGTGTTTTTTCTGATGTGCTCTTCGTTCTGCTATTTGTTCATTAACAAACCACAAGACCTTCCGAGACCTACCTGTAAAAATCCTTAAGTTTACAAAATACACTATCATTAGTCTGTTCTAGACCTATGATACCTTTCTATAAAGACAAGTTCCTTTTGAAGCTTAACCCTGAACTGGGCCTAACACACGTTTTCTAAGAAGGCCTGGTTGAGACTAGAAGTCTTAAAGAAATTTAAAAAGTATACCTTTCAAGTATTGCAATTTTAATTTCGATTTTCATTTGCAAGAACCATAAGCTTGTAGATGTATTATTTTAGGCTTTCATTTTTTTTGTGACCTTGAACGTTTGCTTGTCCAGAGTCTGACACTGATTGGTGAACTTTCTGAAAACAGGAAAGGCCCAAACTACAAAGAACAGTTAGGTTTGCAGAGCGGGTCATTAGGGCAGACCTTTCCTCACTTCAACGGGTCAAGGGCAGGAAAACAACTGCAAACATCTCTGCTGACCCCAAACATCCTGGAAACAAAACATTGAGGCTTTTATTCTCTGGTTAGCACAACATTCAAAAACCAGTCACCAGAGATACAGATTCTTTCCCCAGACTGTGCTTCTGATTAACACTGAAGTATATTTATTCATATTTAAATTAATTATTTTCCTTTTATTTTCCCTTATATACACTATATACTATATGTTTAAAATCTCTCAATTTAGAGGAAAGTGAAAAAGTCATCTTTCATGTAAAAAAAGATTACCTCTAAATATAAAAGTCTGTACTTTTCCTAGATGCTCATACTCACTGTGTTTTTATCCTTTTGTTCAGTCTTCGCAGGGAGGGTTACACGATGCAGGTGAACGTCAACGACTACCTAGACATCTACTGCCCTCATTACAATGACAGCCAGCGCATGGTGGGCACAGGAGAGCAGTACGTCCTCTACATGGTCAGCTACCGTGGTTACAGGAACTGTGACCCTCAAATGGGCTTCAAGAGGTGGGAGTGCAACCGGCCCCACGCCCCCCACGCGCCTATCAAGTTCTCTGAGAAGTTCCAGCGCTACAGCGCCTTCTCATTGGGCTATGAGTTTCATGTCGGCCAAGAGTACTACTACATCTGTAAGTTGATTTAAATTAGAGTCAACCTGCACTGTGACTATGTCTATAAATCTGATGTTCTTGGGTGGTTAATTAATAAAAAAGAAAAATAGCTGAAGGTTTGAAGTGAAATGTGTATGTTAAAAGGAAATGGTTGACAAACTCTGCCTTTTAGGATTACAATATATTTTATTACTACATACTGTTAATTGTAAGCTCTGTGTTAACACCTTGAAGCTTTCTCTCTCCGGTTTGTTTTCCTGAAAAGAGATCACTCAGGACAAACTTTTTAATTAACACTTCATAACTTATATGTATTAAGTAACCATGAGACATGACAACAGATTTTGATCAAAATTTT